CCGGGGGCCCCGGGGGGCCCCTGCTGCTGCACGTGCAGGCCACGGACCCCGCCAGCAAGACCCCCGTGTTCCAGCAAAGCAGCAGAGACCGCGTGAAGACCGGATTCACCAGCACGAAGCCGGGGCTGCACATGTTCTGCGTGAAGAACATTTCGAAGCAGCAAATTTCGGTGGAGGCGCAGCTGCTGTGGGGCCCCGCAGCACGGGACTACAGCCAGCTGGCGAAGGCGGAGCAGCTGGACGAGGTGCTGCTGCAGCTGCTGCAGCTGCAGGACAAGCTGAAGCTGTTTCACAACAACATTCTGTTTTTGCGCGAAAAAGACGAAAAGATGCGCCAGCAAACGGAAGCTGCTGCTGCCACTTTGCTGCTCTTTTCGGCTCTCAACATTTGCCTCCTCGTGGCCGCCAGTTTGCTCTCCGCCTTTTTCTTCAAGAGGTTCTTCAGGTCCAAAAAGATCATTTAAAGCGCCTTTTCTCCGCTCTTCTTCTTCTTCAAGTCTCCTTCGAGTCTCCTTTAATTCTCCGTTAGTTCTCCTTTAATTCGCCTTTATTTCCACTTTATTTCCGCTTTTTTCCGCCTTTGTTTCCGCGTTTTTCGCTCTGTGGTTCTTTTTATCTCGAGTTTCTTCTTCGCGAAACGCCAAGTCCTTCGACTCTCTTCTCTTCCTCAAGTTCGCGCTTTTAGTTTTGTCTATTATTTAGTTTGTTATTTATTTAATTTATTTATTAGTTATTTATTCATTTACTATTCATTATTTACTGTTCATTTAGTTGTTTATTATTTATTTAGTTGTTTATTTGTTTGTTGTTTGTTTCGCTCTGCTGCAAGTTGCGTTTGCAGATTTGCAGCTCATTTGTAGATAAGCTGCATTTAAACTTCAATTTATTTGAATTGGACTTAAATTTAAATTCAAATTCAAATCTAGTTCAAATAATTAAAGTTTAAATGAATTAAAGTTGAAAATTTTGAGCACTTTGAGGTGTACGTACACCTCAAAGTCTTTGCCGCCAAAAGATTTGCATGCAAATCAAACAGGAAACAAAAATGCATTTTTAATTTGAACTCTTTGTATTTATCATTCAAGAAGTAAGTTTGGTTATTTTTAATTCCTTTTATTTCTTCCTTTATTTTTATTTCTTTTTTAATCTGCATGCAAATGTTCTGGCAGCAGCAGCAGCAGCTGCTGCTGCTGCTGCTGCAGCGTCTATTTTTTTGTTTCTTTTTTGTTTTTTTTTATTCTTTTTTGTCTTTGTTGTCCCTTTTTAGTTTCCTTCTTTGTCTCTTTTCAATATCCTTTTAATCCCTTTTTGGTATCTTTTATATTCCTTTCTTGTCTTGTTTTTATCCCTTTTTGGTATCTTTTTTGTCCCTTTTTGTTTTCTTTTTATATTTTTTTTGTCTTTTTTGCATTTTAATTTTCAGCGTTTCTTTTTTGTCCCTTTTTGCGTTCTCTTAATTTCCTTTCTCTTTTTTGCTATTTTTAGATTTCATTTTATTTATTTTAATTCCTTTCATTTATCATTTCCTTTTATTTGTTTTTATTTCATTTCATCTCTTTATCTCATTTAATGTTTCATTTTATCTCTTTTTAGTTCCTTTTTTGCTTTTTTTGTCTTTTCCGCCTTTTGGACATCTTTATCTTTTGAGTTTCAAATAAATGCACTTGTGTTTAAATTCATTTAATTTATTAAATGCTTTTTTAATTAAATGCATTTAAATGTTTTATTCTTTGAAATGCTTTTTATTTTTTAATTTATTTTTCCCAAGTTCATGCATGCATGGAGTGTAGGTATACGTACACTCGAAGGGCTGTTTCCCTCGCCCCTGCATGCGTTTTATTTAATTATTTTATTCATATCTATTTATATTTATTTATATGTATTTATATGTATTTATGTTTATTTATATTTATATTTATATATATTTATTTTAATTTTGTTTATTTTCATTTATTTTGATTGCATGTGTATTTAAAACGGTTCCATTTGAAGTCTATTATGTCTTTTCTAATTTGCTTTCTTCTCCCATTAAATGTCTTTTATTTTATTTAAATACTTATTTTGATTTTAAATAAATATTTATATTTATTTTACATAAATATTTGCATTTATTTTATAATAAGTATTTATATTTATAAAAATACCAAAGTTTATTTTTAATTCAGTTTTATAGTTGCGGCCTTTTGCATGCATGCATTTGCATTTCCTAAATACAACTTTTTGATTTATAATCATTTTATTTGAAAGTATTTTCATTTCACTTATTTGATTTAATTCATTTCATTTGATTTAAATTCTTTTTTTTGCATTTTACCAATTTCGTTAACTCATTTGTTTAAATTCTTTTCATTTTATTTATTTAATTTTATTCATTTAGTTTAAATTCATTTCCCAGTTGGCCTCATTTGCATTTCTTCATTTCAATTTAATTCATTTAATTTATTTCTTTTAATTCATTTAATTCATTTATTCATCTAATTAATTCCTCTAATTGGATTGATCAATTTAATTAATTCATTTTGGAATTGTGTTATGCCAGGCTTTATTTTCTGGCTAGCTAGTCAAAGCCGTAATGTGTGGCTAGCTAGCCGGTGTGTGGCTAGCTAGCCAGTGTGTAGCTAGCTAGCCACTATGTGTGGCTAGCGTGTGCTTAGCTAGCTAGTGTGTGGCTAGCCAGTGTGTGGCTAGCTAGCCAGTGCGTGGCTAGCTAGTTGGTGTGTGGCTAGCTAACTAGTGTGTGGCTAGCTTGATAGTGTGTGGCTAGCTAGCCAGTGTGTGTAGCTAGCTAGTGGCTAGCCAGTTGGTGTGTGGCTAGCTAGCTAGTGTGTCGCTAGCTAGCTAGTGTGTCGCTAGCTAGCTAGTGCGTGGCTAGCTAGCCAAAGCCACATTGTGTGGCTAGCCAGCCAAAGCCGTAGTGTTTGGCTAGCTAGCCAGTGTGGCTAGCTGACCAGTGTATGGCTAGCTAGCCATTGTATGGCTAGCTAGCCAGGGCCCTTGTCTGTAGCTAGCTTGGCAAAGCGGTAGTGTGTGGCTAGCTAGGCAAAGCTGTAGTGTGTGGCTAGCTAGCCAGGGCTTCACAAACTAGCTAGCTAGCTAGCGAGGGCTCTCCCCCAGTAGCTGCAGCTAGCTACTTCGTGCAGGCTAGGGCTCTTTCTTTCTTCTGGGGGGAAGAGCTAGTGGTTTCTTAAGTGTTTAGAATTTCTCTATGGCCAGCTAGCCACGGCTAGCTAGCTACGGCTAGCTAGCTGCGGCTAGCCAGCTACGGCTAGCTAGCTGCGGCTAGCTAGCTGCGGCTGGCTGGCTACAACTAGCAAAATGCAGGGAACTGGCTGCATTGAGCTAAACGCAGGCAGCTAGCTAGCTAGCTACCTGCATTCACCCACAGCCAGCTAGCCGCAGCTACCTCCCCACAGCTGGCTAGCCCTAGCTAGCTAGCTCCAGCTAGCTATATGGTCCAAGCTGCAGCTATCGGATGCGCTCCACGGAGGAAGCCTCTTCGATTTAATGCTTCTTAGTTTAGTTGTTATTTAATCCTTATTTATTTTTCTTTGTTTAATTCTTATTTATTTAACTTTTGAATTTATTATTTTTGAATTTGTTTTCTTTTTGGGTTTTGTTTGGCGTCTTCTGGCTGCCGCACACAGCGTCTCAGCTGTTCAATCCAATCAGCTTCATCACTTGAATTAGACCAATTAAATTGGTTAAATTGATTAAATTAATCAAATAAATTAAATTAATTAAATTAAATTAATTTATTTCTGTTTCATTTTAGCGGCAAATCGCGTTCGTTTGGTTGAAATTGAAGAAGAGGCTTCGGCAGGCGTGTGCAGAAGGTGTCTGTACACCTGGAACTTGGGGCTTCCTGGCGGGTTGGAAGCTATGAAAAAAGAGGAAATGATTTATTATTATTTAAAACAATTAAAGTAGACAATTTAATTCAATGTTTTCGATTTAAAGTGCTTTTGTTTCGCTCTCTGGAGCCTCACGGCACCTGCTGGCTGCTCGCATGCATGCCTGGGCTGGCTCGGGGCTGCGTTGGTGTAGAGTAGAGGGAACGCTGCATTAGAGAAACAAACACACAGTTTAGAGTGAATAAATTGGATTAAATATAATAAAATAAATATAATTTGGCGTTTAGTTTAGAGAAAAGAAGAAAACAAATGCCAGATCGGGCAGCAGGCTGTCCCGCGCTGAGGTGTATGCGCATCTACAGGAAACGCAATTAGCCCAAAAGAAAAGCCTTTTAGTTTTTCTTTAGATTTAACTCTTCCCAATCATTTGCCGATTACTTTTGTTAGTGCCAGGGGCCTCGAAGCCCTAGACTTGGGCCAGATGCAGCAGCAGCAGCAGCTGCAGCAGCAGCAGCAGCAGCAGCTAGCTAGCGACGTTCAGGGCAGTCGTAGGGAGGCTTTTAGTGCAGCAGAAGCAGCAGCGCAGCATCTTTGGGCAGCCCAAAGAGGCTTCGATCCGCCGAAAAGCTGCAGCAAATAGCGCCTTCTCCCGCCGCCCCTGCGCCTCTCCAGGTGTACATACACCCCAGCGCCCGCCCCTGAGGTGTACATACACCCCAGTGCCAGCCCCTGAGGTGTACGTACACCCCAACTCCCTCGCCTGAGGTGGACGTACACCTGAGCACCCACCCTGAGGTGCAGGTACTCTTCTCTTCAGGTGTACGTACGCCTGAGGCTGCATCTCGAGGTGTACGTACACTGCAGCACTCAAGCTGAGGTGTACGTACACCGCAGCACGCAAGTTGAGGTGTACGTACACCTGAAGAGGGAGGTGCCGGTGTACATACACCGCAGCACGCCAGTTGAGCTCAGACTGGGCTGTCTGTACACCTCAAGCCGCAGCTTGAAGTGTCTGTACACCTGCGGCCTCAGACTGAGCTGCCTGTACACCTGGGACCGTAAGTTGAGCTGTCTGTACACCTGAAGCCTCGGACTGAGGTGCCTGTACACCTGGGGCCGCACGCTGCGGTGTCTGTACACCCGAAGATGGGGGCCGTTTGCGCGGCGTTCAAAAGGCGGATGGAAGTGGAAGCAGATATTTGCTTTTTGTTTTCCGACGGCTACAGAGCCCGCGGGCTGCAGCGCCAAGCAGCAGCAGCAGACCAGCAGCCCCAGGCCTTCACGGATGCGGACTGGTCCGCCGCTGCTGCTGCTGCTGCTGCTGCTGCTGCTGCTGCTGCTGCTCGTGGTGCTGCTGGTGGCAGTGTTCGGGGGGAGAGAGTGGGGTTGGCTGCTTGTTAGAGGGGCCGAGCCCACTGCTGCTGCTGCTGTCGCTGCTGTTGTTGCTCTTGCTGCTGCTGCTGCTGCTGCTGCTGCTGCTCTTTTTTCCCCCACCCACCAGAGAAAGAAAGCAGCTGCTGCTGCTGCCTGGCCTGCAGTAGCAGCAGCAGTTGGTTGTGCTGCTCCTGTTAATTTAGGGCTGTTGTTATGGACAAGGGCCCCTCCCAGTGGCA